GCAGAGAAGCTTACATCCAGATTTGGTGGGAAGGAAAAGCTACAGGTTGGTTGGAGAAGATGGGGGAGGGTGTCTCCAAGGGAAGGGAGAAGCTCTAAAGCCCAAATGGGGTACACTTTGTGGTGGAGGCTGCTCTGCAGATTAGCATGGCTCCAACACAGGCAGAAAGCAGGGGAGCTCTGAACAGGGGTCAAACTCACCTGCCTTGACACGTCTCTGGTCTCCACCTTCAGATGTGTCTCCAGTGGTGGCCGGCCTCATCGGGGCCTCTGTGCTGGTGGTGTGTGTCTCAGTGACTGTCTTTGTCTGGTCATGCTGCCACCAGCAGGCAGAGAAGAAGCATAAGACCCCACCATACAAGTTTATTCATATGCTGAAAGGCATTAGCATCTATCCAGAGACCCTCAGCAACAAGAAGAAAATTATTAAGGTACGGAGAGACAAAGATGACCCTGGGAGGGAAGGTGGACGTGGGAACCTGTTGGTGGATGCGGTAGAGGCTGGCCTGCTGAGCCGAGACAAGGGGCCCAGGGGCCCTAGCTCTGGATCTTGTATAGACCAGCTGCCCATCAAAGTGGACTATGGGGAAGAACTGAGGAGCCCCATCACAAGCCTGACCCCTGGGGAGAGTAAAACCACCTCTCCATCATCTCCAGAGGAGGATGTCATGCTAGGATCCCTTACCTTCTCAGTGGACTATAACTTCCCCAAAAAAGCTCTGGTGGTGACAATCCAAGAGGCCCATGGGCTTCCAGTAATGGATGACCAGACCCAGGGATCTGACCCCTACATCAAAATGACCATCCTTCCTGACAAGAGGCATCGGGTAAAGACCAGAGTGCTACGGAAGACCCTCGACCCTGTGTTTGATGAGACCTTCACTTTCTACGGCATCCCATACAGCCAGCTGCAGGACCTGGTGCTGCACTTCCTTGTCCTCAGCTTTGACCGCTTCTCCCGGGATGATGTCATAGGGGAGGTCATGGTGCCATTGGCTGGGGTGGACCCTAGCACAGGCAAGGTACAGCTGACCAGGGACATCATCAAGAGGAACATCCAGGTGAGTAAGAAGAGTGTTGGCAAGGGCTGGGGGAGGGGGAGACAAGATCTCAGCAGAGAAATGGGAGGGAAGAGGGGACTGAAGTGATAGAGAGGGACTGAAGAGAGGAAGCTCTTGGCTGTCAAGAATAAGCAGTGGTCAAGCAGTAAGATAGAGGGCTTGGCAAATTAGGTCTCCTTCAAGAAGAGGAGGTCAGGTAGCTTCTAAATTTCTTCTACTGTCGGGCGTGGTGCCTCGCACCTGTAATCCTAGCACTCTGGGAGGCTAAGGCAGGTGGATTGCTTGAGCTCACCAGTTCAAGACCAGCCTGAGCAAGACCAAGACTCTCTTGAGCCCAAGGGTTTGAGGTTGCCATGACCTATGAGGCCACAGCAGTCAACTGAGGGTGACAAAGTGAGACTACCTCAAAAAAAAAAAAAATTTCTCCTAGTGATGGCATCCTGATCCTGTTCAGCTTACTTGGGACAGGCTGGCCTACTAGTCCTAAACCCTCCATAATATCAGTGATATGGGGGCTAATTTCCTCTCCAAAATGATGTGATCTTCCTTCAGTGAACTTATTTCTCAAAGCTGAGAACCTGGGCGGCACCTGTGGCTCAATGAGTAGGGCGCCGGCCCCATATGCTGGAGGTGGTGGGTTCAAACCCAGCCCCGGCCAAAAACCGCCAAAAAAAAAAAAAAGCTGAGAAACTATGACAATAATTCATTATTTTTCCCTTAGCTTCCCATTCCCAGCCCAAACCTAGGGGTGTAAATAGTATCATGTACATATCTTTTTATAGCCATTTTATAAATGCAGTGTAATGAATTGCTTCACTGTTCCAGGCCCAAACCTTTGCCACAGATACATCTCCTCTTTCCATTCTTTCTCTCCTCCTCTTTGCACTAGGAAAGGGATAAAAGCCCTCCATCCTGCCTTCTCTTCCTCTCTCCCCACTGGGCCAACCTTGGCTTTTTTTTTTTTTTTCTTGAAACAGAGTCTCACTCGGTTGCCCTGGGAAGAGTGGCCTCAGCCAAGCTCACAGCAACCCCATACTCCTGAGTTCAAGTGATCCTCATGCCTCAGCCTCCCAAATAGCTGGGACTACAGGTGCCCATCATGACACCTGACTGAATGGTTTTTCTATTTTTAGTAGAGATAGGGTCTCGCTCTTACTCATGCTGGTTTTGAACTCCTGAGCTCAAGTAATCCACCTGCCTCAGCCTCCCAGAGTGCAGGGATTACAGGCCATGATTCACCACCCCAGTCTTGACACTGGCTCTTAAATTGTAATTTCAGGAGTACAAGTGTACTCCCACCAAACCCTACTAGTTCATTTATTTCTTCCATGACTGGGGAGGCAGTGCCATGCTGCATGTAAGCATGCAGCCTCCAGGATCAGACTGCCCCGGTTCATGCTCTAACTCACCACTTTCCATCTGTGTGATGTGGGTGAGTTACTTAATGCCTCCACACCTTTACTTCCTTATCTGTAAAATGGAGCTGATAATATTGCCTTCCTTACAGGGTTATGAGAATCAAGTGACATAATATACCTGGCATGTTATTGCCTGTAAGGAGCTTTTACACTATTGGGGAGAAAGACAAATATTTTTGGCAATTATCATATAGTGGGTGTGGTAAGTGCTATGAAAGAAGTTGTAGAAATTTTAAACTTAGAGTTTCATCCCTTTTTTAGGGTATAATGTGAGGTTAATAGCAAGAACTTTGGAGCCAGATCTAGGTTAAAATCCAAATTCTACCAGCTAAGTGAACCTGGGAAGGCTGCTTACCTTCTTTAAGTCTCAGTTTCTTATAAGACTGAAGTAAGAGCTGAGCTCAGTGGCTCATGCCTGTAATTCCAAAACTCCAGGAGGCCAAGGTGGGCTGATTGCCTGAGCTCATGAGTTTGAAACCCTCCTGAGCTAGAGCGAGACCCCGGTCTCTAAAAAAAAAAAAAAAATTGCTGGGTGTTGTGGTGGCTGCCTGTAGTCCCAGCTACTAGGGAGGCTGAGGCAAGAGAATCTTTTGAGCCCAAGAGTTTGAGGGCGCTGTGAGCTATGACACCATGGCATTCTACCAAGGATGACAAAGTGAGACTCTGTCTCAAAATAAAAAAAAGGAAAGACTGAAGTATGGTGGTATTTTACACAGTCCCTAGCACATAGTGAGCCTTCTATTATTAATGAAGTTTGATCCCTGAGCGATACATGTAGTCTGTAGATATTTAGATTGTGTTTTGACAAGGTGGAAGAAAACAAGGGAGGCCTGAATCAGTGGAGAAAGAGGTTCAGAAAAGATAGCAAGGTTACAAAAAACAATTACACATGTCCCAGAAAGAATTTTGCCTATCATTGCCATACTTATCTCTTGATGCCTTTTTCACCTACAAGCCCACACTGGACTCAGTGGGGAGACAGGAGGTTCAGGGTTGGACGGAAAAGGATTCTTATCCAGCAGGTGCAGAATGTACAACAAGCATCCAGGATCAAGGTTTGACCATCGAATCAGGGTACTGCACCAGGGCCTGGGACACACCCACAGGGTACCAGTCCCACAGCAGCCAGCCCATTCCTGCCATTGTCTAGCAGGGATGTCTAATCTATGGTCTGCAGGCCACAAGCAGGTTATTTGAGGACTGTTTTGCTTATCTGTGCTGCTGGATATCACAAAAAAGTATGCATAGACATTTCTTTTGCTTATGAGCTTTCACTGGTATTTGTGTATTTATTGTGTGGCCCAAGATAACTCTTCTTCTTCCAATGTATGGCAGAAAAGTAAAAAGGTTGGATACCTCTGGAGAGGAACTGCTACTGTCAGAAACACACATAGGAGCCAGGGAAGTCTAAGAAGTTTGAAAAATATTAGAGGCATTTGGTCAGAGCATAAAGAAGGCACTGGTTCAATCCTAGAATACTACAAGACACCCTAGAATTCAATGCAGCAGGGATCTTTACATCCTCCAAGGTTGGAATCAGAAGACATAAATAGGCTAAGCGCCTGTAGCTCAGTGGGTACAGCACTGGCCACATACACCGGGGCTGGCAGGTTCGAATCTGGCCTGGGCTTGCCAGACAACAATGACAAGTACAACAAAAAAATAGCCAAGCGTTGTGGTGGGCGCCTGTAGTTCCAGCTACTTGGGAGGCTGAGGTAAGAGAATTGCTTATGAATAGAAACTAAAGCAGTTGGGTGGCACCTGTGGTTCAGTGAGTAGGGTGCCGGCCCCATATACCAAGGGTGGCCAGCCCGGCCAAACTGCAGCAAAAAAATAGCTGTGCCTTGTGGTGGGCACCTGTAGTCCCAGCTACTTGGGAGGCTGAGGCAAGAGAATTGCCTAAGCCCAAGAGCTGGAGGTTGTTGTGAGCTATGACACTACAGCACTCTACCAAGGGTGATAAAGTGAGACTCTGTCTCTAAAAAAAAAAAAAAAAAAGGAAACTGAAGCAGTGACCTGTTTTGTCCCCTTGTCTCCCTTCTCTCCCTTTCTTCTTCCCCATTTATTTTCCTCTGGGCTCTGCCACCCTGTCCCCTGCTTCTCAACCCCCTTTACAGCAGCCTCTTCCCCATTTACCCAACCTTAGTAAAGCCACCACCCAGTGGGGCTCCTCCAGACAGCTCATGCACTCACAGTCCCGCTGGGAGTGGAGGGTGGCTTTGTGCCAGGCTGTGGCTGGGAAGAGACTGGGAACAAAATAGCCTCCAATTCAGAGCACTGGGCAGAACACAGACAAGGGCGTTTGCTTAACTGCCAGGGCTCTTGGTAAGAGCCAAGTTTCTTTCCACGTTATTAACTCCCTTCAGGAGGAATAAGGCAAAGCCACAATCCTAAGCAGCACAACCTCTGGGGGGGCTCCACGCCAGAGCGCCCGCCTGCTGGGCTTCTCAGCCTGTCTCCCCCAGCCAGTGTGAGTGGGTGGGACTATGTTCCATACTGTAGTATGGGATCAAATATCTTCCTCCAAGAATTCTTGAGTAGAGACTGGCAAAAATTGCATTCCTATAGACAATTTTCCTCAACTATATTTCTTGGCCTTTAGTAGAAAATTTGTCTCTGTCCTTCCCCTTATTAGTGTGTGGTCCAGTTGAAGAAGGCCAAGACTGGTCATCACTTCCAATTCTGTCCCTTTCACTGCCTAACTTGGAGCAGGCAGTTATTCTCTCTGGGCCTTAATATCCCTCCAGGCTGAATCATGATAGCTAATGGGATCACATTGGAAGTGCACACTCAGCTCCTATGAATTTACAGAAAGATGTATGAAGCATTAAAAGTTAACCCTTTCTTTTTTTTGAGATAGAATCTCACTCTATTGCCCAGGCTAGAGTACACTACCGTCAGCCCAGCTCACAGCAACCTCAAACTCTGGGCTCAAGAATCCTACTGCCTTAGCCTCCCAGAGTGCTGGGATTACAGAAATGAGCCAACAGCCTGTCCAGAAATTAACCCTTGATTGTCAATGAAAAGAGGTCGCAGAATACAAACTAGCCTACAAAATGTTAGAGATGGACTTTGGAACTATTTCTTTTTTTAGTAGAGAAGGGAAGTGGCGCAGAAAGGGATGTGGATAAAAAAGAAGACAGCGAGAAAGAGGTGACTGACAAAGCAGATAATGGAGAGTTGTAAGACTCTTCCTAACCTCTTCAGGTCATGGTGATCACCCCAGACCATGGTCATGGGAACGGGAACGGGAGGATTAAGAAAATCTCAGACTTACAAAGGAGCTCAATCTAGCCATTGGGGCTGAAAAGAGAAAAAGAAGGAATGTCAATTTCCTAGGAACAATTCAGAAAGTCATTACATATGTATATTGAGAGGAGCAAAAGGAAGATGTGGTTGAACGTTAAGGTTGTGTTTCTTCTGTCATCCCATGGTTATGATTTAGGGTGGAGGCGGCCCCCTCAGATTTACTGAGGGGTATTGGTCCACCTAGTGCAAGGACTTTATGGCTAGAAAATCTTTCTGAAAGAGGCTCTGCTAATTTCAAGAAAATAAACTCCACCAGTCTGAGTATTTCTTTGA